TGCGTACCGAGCCTTTTTCCGGGATGGATCCATTGTTGCTATTGTGTTCAATACCTACATAAACGGTGGGCTAGTCTAGTTTCGGACGTGGGAAAGAACGACTGGTTGATCTCGATGACGGTATGATGGGCCGCGGGTTTGAAGGATGGGAGGATTTGATTTAGGGTCTGGGGTTAGCGAATGTGTGCGAGGGAACGTATGAGGTGTGTGGATGGGGATGAATGAATACATGTGAGATTGCCCAAGGTGGCTAAGCGCGCGTGTACAGCCTTGCCGTAGCTGGAATGACAATAAGGATGGGGATCGTGATCAACGATTCGGTACTTCAGCATACCTAGATAGACAACTTGATTGGTCAGTAGATACCTACCTGTGTAACACAAGAATCCATCTGTCACGTTCCTTCTCTGCAACTCCCCTGGCCATCGTCACGTTCCCACCTGCACCATTTGTGCAACGTCGTACGAAACCGGGTAAAATCTATGCTGGTCGTTTCTTCCTTCACAAAGTACCTAGGTAGCTATCTGCGCGTTGGTTGGGTGGTGCATCAGTCCTGCACCATTTCGCTTGCTATTGTGTTTCTATTGAACACGCCATCCATGGATACCTACCTAGGTACATTCACGCACGTGAGGTGCGGAGCTAGGGTACGAGAAGCGTTGATGTATGTGTAATGAGACATGTGTGTTGGCTTATGCGTTGGATGTCTAGGAGTCATGATGATCGGGGATGCAGATGGGTGGATAACTAAGTACGTGGACGGTGGGTGACGCTTTGGGTGCACAATAGGAAGATGGGATGGGACAATAGGAAGGGGGTTGGAGTGGTGCCACACTTGAACAAGTTCCTTCGCGGTTTCGTGATGCGGATTTTGAGAGCCAAAAGTCTTTCCTAATACAACTGACAACTTTTGCATCTTGAACTACAAACACCTGGGCAGAGTCTTGCAAACATGATATCCAAATCGTATTCGTACAAAAGCTTAACACTATAGCTCGCGAACTCCTCCGAAGCAAAAGCCACATCGCTGCATTCCTCTCAATACGAAGCCACGATGCTTTGACACGCCACCCACGCGCCCTCCCACCGCCATCAGCGCCACGCAACGTGCCCAAATCCGGCGCTCTTCTGCGCTCAATCTCAATACCAGTCTCCACATCGACAAGAAGAGTCATGATAGGCTGAATGCGATACGAAAAGGACGCGTGGCCAAGGCAACACACAATAAGGCGCCAAGAAAAGGAAGGAAGGAACAATAGGAATGCATATGCACTGCCAGCTAGTAGGTATACACTATCTGTCCTCTGTCGATCGTACGATTCCTTGTGTGTACAGGCAGGGGATATGGAGGGACTGGGGAATGGGAAAAGCCGGAGCTGTGCCGCATCTTCGATGGCTGAGCCAGTGCCAGTTTGTTGGAGAGTCCGCTGCCGTACCCGTACCCGTGTCTGCAAGGCAGACATGTGCCGGTGCGTGCGTGCAAACCAAAACCATGGCAGTGGTCCTTCAAGATGGCAAAAGTCCTCCAAATGGCCTAGACGAACGGACTTTGAACCCAGCCAATTAGGCAACACTATGCTGCAATCCGTAAGGCGACAAGAAAGTTACGTTGTTTTACAAGCCCTGCTGTCGTGATGAACACGATTGTCGAGCCCAAGACGCCACGCTCCATGAAATGCGATAGAATATCAAACACCCACCGGCAGTGTCCAGGAACGGAAAAGAAATGCCGTTCGGATGGATAACTGCGATCCAGGCTGAACCCCTAACACCGATGAAGTAAACCCCTTCACAGACAACTGCAAGTCTATCACCGCTGTGGTCGGTACTGCTGGACTTCATGTTGTGGCCGTTCGTGATAGAAGAGGTTTTCCGACCAAGGCGGCAACTTCTTGTCTCGTTCGTAGAGGTAGCCACAGTTGTTGCAGAGAGTGCGTGGGCCTTTTGGACCGTCGCGGACAGCCCAGACGGCAGTTCCCCAGACCCAGCAGTGTGCGCATCTCCATGTTTGTCGCTCCCTGTGGTTGTTGTTAGTTCCAATATCACAATGCACAATGCCAGTATTATCACATACCCTTCTTGGAGCCCTCCACCCTGCCCGCCATAGCCGGATCCTCCTTCGGCGCTTGGCGTGCCTCTTCCAACTGGGCTCAAACTCCTGAATCGTCTCTTCTTTTTGCTGCGCTCGCCGCGGCCCATGTTCTCTTGTCCTTCGATGTTGTTGAAGAATTCGTTGGCGGGCTGGCCTGTCATGTTTGCGGTCGAGGAGAAGCGCGCTGTCTCTCTGCGTAGTCTTCGGATCTGCCTCTCACGGTCGCCTTCGCGCTTCTCGATTTCTTCAGGTGATAGGATTTCCACCTTCGGTTCCCATTCGTCGCAGAGATGCTCTTGGTCGTATCTCCAACCTGCACCAATAGTAGGCTCTACTGCATCGTTGTCGATCTCGCCGTCGCCCACTAAACCGCCGTTCTCGCAGGCTTCCTTCTTGAGTCGCAGGACTGCTTCGTAGATGCTATGTGTCATGGCGTTCACCCATTCTCCTGATAGCCCCAGATCCGCGCACGTCGTCTTAGCAAACATCTCCGCGAAACCTGGTGGATGTAATAGTGACCACTCGAACTTGTCGGTGTACAATCGGTTCATGAGGTTGATGTTGAGTGTGACGATGCAGCGGTAGGTATCGTCTGGGTTGTGAAGCTCCTCGGAGGGCATTGCGGTCGCGGTTGCGCTGATGCCATTGGGAATGCCCGCTGGCGTCTGTGCGCCATTGGTATGCGATACGCCGTTGGTCATAGGGGTCGACGCGCCGTTCGTGGCTGGTACTTGTGGTGTAGAGGTGCCATCGCGGGATGATGCAGGCAGTGCGGTCTTGCCGTTTGTTCCTTGGACAGCGGGCGAGTTTGCAGAGTGGAATAAAGGGTGTAGCGCAACACCAGCATATTCCTCCAACTGCTGCCGAATCTGATTTGCGACCTGGGAGATTATGAGGGGCTTTCGGTCGTTTGGCAGATCTAGTTCATCGACGAACTGCTTTGCGAATTGATCGGGTGTCGTCAAAGCCTCGTGCAGGTTCCAAAGGAACGAGTCCTTGAGTCTGTATGCGGGAGTGACGTCGGGTTGTTTGTACGCGGGCAGATTCTCGTTGATGCCGAACTCTCGCGCGTTGGAGGGCGTCGGGAGCGGTGCCTCAGGCCGGAAAGCCTGAATGTCCATGTCTATTCGGATCGGAATCAACGTGACAGGCAAGACTGACTGCGTCTGGACTTGCTTCTCCGTGCTGCAGTATGTTAGCCTTCTATTGCGAGATGCGTCCCATGGCTTCACCCAGCCACCATGCCACATACAGTGTGCGCTTCGGCCTGCCCATCCAGTCCCGCCAGATTCCCTGTATATCGACTGGCGCAATGAGCTCCTCGCCCAGCGCTGCTATTTGCGCCGTGTGGTCTGCGCTGTTCGGGTCGATCTTCTGTACGCTTCGCAGGCCTGTCGCACGTCGCGGCCGATCGCTATCCTCGAAATCGTCATCATCGTAGGCATCTTCCGCATAGCTGAGAACGGCAGTTCCGCGTTTTGTCACGCGCGGCGCAGGGAGGGTATTCGAAGGCGGGACAATGGGCGATATCAGCGAGTTTCCATGGCTTCGCAGTCGCGGCGCATAACTCGACATGAAAGCCTGGGGCGGCGCCGTCTTTCCCGTACTCGTAAACATGGCTGTTGACACGGTCGATGGTCGTGTAGGAGATGTGAGGAAGCTCAGCAGAGCTCGCGAACACTAAACGCGTCGCGATGTCGATGGGGCCTCCGAATGCGGCGAATGGGTCACGGGGTCCGTCGGAAGGCTGGTCGATTCGCGATTACCCCTGCACTGCGACCGATAGGGAAGTCGATTTCGAATTGCGACTGCTTTTGCGCGTCCCTGGCTGGTGACGGATGCTTTCGCGGTTGCGGTCCAGCTAACGTTGCCAAGACCCACTAGTCCGCAAGCGTCCCAGGGTTCTCAGGGCTGGGGGCTCTTTCCAATGTCTGCCCTCCACCTCACCTGCCCAGGTGCTCAATTCACGATGCGTGACAATACCCTTGATGCACCAGAATACACCATCGATGTACCAATCACTGCGCATTATGAACGTTTTGTTGCGGCACAGCGCCCTGCAACCCATAAATACTCTCAATTCATCCACATTCATCAGATCACCATTCCCACGTGCCCGAAGTCTTTCAGTCACACGAGCTCTCTACTCGCTGCCTGGGAGTGGAGTACCTAGGTATGGATAGCAAGAGTTGGAAAATCTGAAACGCATTATGCCTTCCTTCCGCCTGGGTAGCTAGTGGCGCTTAACGGTCTCCACCAGGATATTTCTTGCCGCTGTGCATCCCAGCTATATCTCTACGGATCTAGGTTCTATCATGACTGGACACCCAATCAAGTACATTTCATGAAACAAGAAAGGTAGGAAATACATGTCTTCTGTGGGCCTTCCGCGGGTTCTTGTACCTGTTCAGGCATCTGCAGTCTCCATCAAGAACTCACGGTCACAGCGCTGGCGCAACGATGGCGCGCGCTAATTCGCCGGGAGACGTTGAATACTCACCTTCACCTCCCAGCGTCAAGTATATAAACTCCAAGCTTTGTCTCATTGTGAAGCTATTGTACATTACGTATTACTAAGGCTGTTGTGTTATGACTCTACAACGCCGCCACGGTCCTTACCATCGCGCCTACTAAAGACTCTCGTTATTCTTCCTACACAACTCATCGCAAATACGAGCACGACATTCATACCAACTACGCAACTCTACGAGACCTTCATTTTACTCTTCCAAGAACTACTTGCGACAAGTCTTTGACAAGACATATTTTGATTTCAGACATCCGAACCAACATTTCGACTTACACGTTACATACCTCAGCTGGTCTAGGAAACACCATGTCTTTCAAGTCGACCCTTTACGCCGCGGCGGCCATGCTAGCCATGGCGCCGCTCTCTGCAAACGCCCACATGATTCTCAAGAGTCCCGTGCCATACGGCAATCCCAACAATTCACCTCTCGACGCTTCCGGTTCCGACTTCCCCTGCAAGGCCGTGCCATATACGGTGAACACTATGAACGAATGGAAAGTCGGTTCATCCCAGACTCTCGCATTCACTGGTACGGCCGTCCATGGTGGAGGCTCATGCCAGATAAGCGTCACCACCGACAAGGAGCCTACAAAAGACTCCGTGTGGAAAGTCATCTACTCCATCGAGGGTGGCTGCCCTGTCTCTGCAGAAGCCAATCTCGATGAATTTGGTCCCAGCCTCGACAACACCTTCAAGTTCGATATCCCCCCAGAGCTTCCTAACGGCGTCATGACAACAGCTTGGACATGGTTCAACAAGATCGGAAACCGCGAGATGTACATGAACTGTGCGCCGGTCACGATCTCTGGAGGTGCCGACGACACAACTGCATTTGATGCTCTCCCCGATATGGCAGTCGCAAACATCCCAGTCCCACAGTCTTGCGGTACGACAAAGGAAAGCAGCGATTTCACATTTCAGAACCCAGGAAAGTATGTGAAGTCTGTTGGCAAAGGTCCTTTCGTGGATCTTTGCACTGGCGCAACTTCGCAACCCAGCACCGGCGGTGATGCTGGTGGTGGTGGTAGTGGCAACGCCGACCCTGGTGCCGCACCCGCCAATCCTCCAGTCGCCAGTCCTCCAGCTGCTAGTCCTTCCCCGGACTCAGGAGCCTACCAACCTGCTGCTACGCCTCCATCTGCGGCGAGCCCAGCTCCAGTAAGCCCCCCTCCTGCTCCACCAGCTGCTCCATCTGGCACCAAGTCCGCCTGCTCACCCAAACCTAAGCCCGCCGAGTCCACCCTCCGCACGCTCGTGACCGTCACGGCGCCAATGCCAACAAACACCGACGGCGTCTTTCCACCCAACCCAGCAGCCGGTACAGGCACGGCCCCCGTCGCAGCTCCAGCACCCCAACCAACCGGCCAGTCTCCAGCAGCATCACCCATCGCGCCTCTAAGACCAACACCATCCGGCGCACCCGCCTCACCCGCACCCGCAAACCCAGGCTCAGACAAGGAGCCCTGCTCCCCCGACGGCACAGTCGTCTGTTCGTCCGACGGCACGAAATTCGGTCTCTGCGACCACGGCAAGGTCATCATGATCCCCGTGGCTGGAGGCACAAAGTGTGAAAACGGAGCCATCGCCAAGCGCGGTGATTACTCGCATCGTAATCAGCGCACTGCTATCTAGTTTGAGACACTGGGTATTTGTGAAGATGGTGTTTGTTTTGTATATACTTGTGTCAGCCGGTTCTGCCTTTTAGTATGTTTTTTTCGATTTCTTTTACGGGGATGGTTGGAAGCTTTTGCTGCGATTGTTTCCTGGCCTCGCTTGTTGGCTGAGCTGTCGTGTAGCAGAGAGGCGTTCTTTCGCTTTTTCGCTGTCGCGATTGAAGAGGGGTTTTGTGTGTAGATTTGTATATCATGTAATAGTACTATTACTATAAAACCAACCACCCTTCTTCTCCCACTGCGATTGTCATATAGAAGTTACTGTAGCCAGGATCTAAGGCCCACCAACAGCATAAGGCGTGAACTTGTAGCAGCCACCCACATCAGCATCCCCAGCAATCCTCCAATAAACACCACAATCATAACTCGTCGTTCCCCTCGCAGCAACACAAGACAACGGACACGTCCCATCAGCAGCATTGTAGGTAACCTGGCAAACCGTTTCCTGCAGCCCAGCATCGTTTCGTCCAAATAAGACGTACGCTTCGCTCGCGCCTACATTGGGATTGGTCTTGCCGATGGAGCCGGCGTACGGCCCGTTCAGGACCTGCAGCTTGTTGTTGTCGACGGTGGTGAACTGGAGAACGGGGCTCAGGCCTTGTGAGTTGCCGACGGTGTTGGGGACGTTGCGGCTGGCGTCTGCGATGGGGTTTCCGCTGTTGTCGCCGCCGATGGCGTAGACGGTGAAGGTGGGGATCGCGATGACTTGTTGGGTGCCTGTGATGATGGTTGTACGCTCCGTGACTGTGGAGGTCTCGGTCGCGGTATTTGTGATGGTGTTTGTGACGGTCGCGGTGTCGGTGTTGGTTGCGGTTGCGAGGATGGTCAGGGGTACCTGTTGGAGGCGTCGGTTAGCAAGGATACGCTGGCTCGTATGGCTGGCAGAGACTTACTGTGACTGAAGTCGTGATGGTGGTGGGAACGCTCAAAGTCGTCGTGGTAGTCGTGCTAGAGGTAGGCACCGCAAGACATTTGCATGCTGAGGAGAGGGCTTGGCCTTCGATGTAGTTGTTGAAGCATGAAGGCTTCTTTGGGGGGACATAGGCGCCCCGCTTCTGTACAGCTCCTGGGGATGCGCATGCAGTGATTGAAGAGTATGCGACAGTATTGATGGTTTCGGTTGTTGTCGTCGTCTCGGTGATCGTGGCAGACGCCGTTGCGGTGGCAGTATCAGTTGTCGTAATTGTGTTGGTTGCATCGGTGGTCGTGATCGATCCCGAAGTGATTGTTGCAGTTGCCGTAATGGTACTGTGTGTTGTAAGCGAAAGATCATGCCAGTGGAGATGAACGTGGTGTCAGCTTACGCAGTGAAGGAAGTCACCGTAGAAGTCTTTGTGACTACAGGGATCTTGAGGTAAGAAGAACAGAAGCTCGTGGCTTGGGGCTGTTGCTTTGCAACAGTGACCAGACCACCGACAATGTCGCAGAACAACTGCGCAACGATTTTGCCAGCAGGCTCAGGGGCTGCATTTCGAGGGACAGACAGGGCGCCAGTGGGAATGGCGAGCCCCAGGGCAAGTCCAGCTACGTTGTTGAAGCGCATGGTGAAAGTGTACAAGTGTTGGAGGCTCAGTCGATAGAGGAGATGCTGCAGAATGTGCTCTGGTGAAAACGACAAGACGCCGCCCGACAGCGTCTTATATACATCTTGTAAGGCAAGACTGTTCTCTCCTCGCCCTCTCGCGTCGCTCTAGAACTCAGTCCCTTCGGCACCTTGAGGTCGGTGGAAGCGACGCTATCGGTATGTTGCCGTGCAAAAACGAAAAGCTGAACTCTAGCTGCACGATCTCGACAGCCACTTTTCTCCTCTTCTTCCTGGTCGAGTTAGAACTTCAAGCCACAAAGGTTTGTTCGTGGCCAGAAGCAGGAAAACCTGAGTTGTAGGACGACGGTGAAGAGTTGTTCAGCCAGCCTCCGATGAGTCTCTAGCTCTGAAGAGAACCCTGCTCTCGCTGGATCTGGAAGCATGTCTGCAGAGCCTCTAGGCGATGTCGGATTCCAAGTCCCCGTGAGTAAGTAAGCCTGAGAATGCTCGACCTGGTAAGCCTAGAGGCATTGCTTGTGGCCTGGAAAGGCATAGTCTAATCCGATCCTGGGGAAGGACGCCTATCTAGAACGCTCCATCTGGCCATGATCAACGGAAAAGCCTGACAACCCTGGAACTTGACCTATGATGTTGCGATTGGATCTTGAACCTTTCGAGCCTGTTGGCACGGAATAGTACTAGCGGCATCGCTTCGCCTGGCGCGGTCTGAGTGTTTCCCTTCAATCTGGGGATAAAGCCACGCTAAGAAACGGACCGAAGCTTATTTTACCCTGTGGCAGCTCGCCCGCATTGTTTGTCTTAAGTCTTCCCCGGAATATTCCAGCGCCCACGTTGTGCTCTAGATCTCGGAGCTCCCGTCACGCCAGGATCGAAGGGAAGCACATGACTTGAGGTCTGCACTTGAAGGCCTCGACTTTGCTCTATCGTCAAGGGCGCCCCTGCCATGACCCTTGCCTGATCAACTGCCTGCCGCTCGGAAGCATGTAATCCGTGCTGTGCTATCCGTCTTCAGCGTGGAAAGCGGAGTACACTCCTACGATGCCGAATACCTGGGTTGGATCGTCCTATCTTCGCACGCCTTGCGATGATCATAGGTACATCTGGCGAAGTAATATCTGAATTGTAGACCAGAGCCTTCGCACGCACCGCGTGGTGATCGAAGGGAGGTATGACGCGGATGATAGTTCAGAAGATCCGCAGTACCCAAGCGAGTGCGATCTTTCAACACCAAAGCGGACGGCCGCCCGGTTTCGGGCTCTGGTTGCGCAACGAAGACCAGGCCGTGCCTTTGGCTCACCTCGCTCCCTCGAAGTCTCACAGTCGTCAGCAGATCGTGCGTCGGTGAAGACACATACAAGCAGTCTTGAACTATTTTCCAGGAGCCTAATTGTGCCACTGTGGCGCGATAGAAGCTGTGATGTTGAAAATGCTGCGAATCGACGTAGGGCTTGCTCTGGAATCGAATGTCGCAGAATGTCTCCCATCCCGACGCGTTGAGTGGTGACCAGCTTTTTGGTGGAATATGTCGCTTACCGCGGCCATCGCATCATGTTCGGATAAAACCTTACGGGTCGCTTCTTCTGCCTTCCGCGCTCAAACCTGGAAACTTTGGTCGTGTATGTTAGGGCTTGGACTTTCAGTGACGGTGATCTGCGGGGCGCTCTAGTAGTTGGCCTTTCGCCAACGTTGACATGCTCGACGCGGACCTTGTTGCTTTCATCTCAGACGAAAAACGAGGAAAGAAGGCGCCATTCACCTCATCTCCAGCTTCCTCTAGCCTGCGGTCCCCCACTACTCCTCAGTAGCATAATTCCCACACCCACCGCCATGGCACCAAGGAAAACCCACTGCGGAACAACGATATCCGTATCTCTCCGCTGGTACCTCCGTGCTTTCTCGGCGTACATCTTCTTCCTCAGCGCACGTTCCTCTTCGTCCACTTCAACATCTTTCGTCTTTCTTTCCTTCACATTCTCTCCAATCAGTCCATCACCCGTCTTCCTCTGCATCTCCTTCAGGTAATCCCGTATCACGGAATCGTCCTCTTCACTCAAATCAACAAACCCCCTCTCTTTCATTTCCACACCCTGATCCAGCGGACTTGCTACGTTGAGGCCACCTACAACACCCTCTTTCGCCGTCAACTTCTTCTTATCGACGAGTACGTCATCTGGTAGCCACTCTTTCAGGGTGTCTAAGGGTAACGTCCGGAAGACAAGACACATCCACATCTCCAATACGTTCATCACCAGGTCCGGGTGATCCATACCCGGTACTGCATTGCCATATCCGCCCGAAGGAAGCACAGCTAGTACACCGAAAACGTTGTAGATACTCCACTCCAGCGCATAGTAATGTAGACTCGGATGATCTCTCCGATACCTAAAGTTGAGATGCTGTGCCACCCTCACGCGCAGATTACTACTCTGACCCACGTAGATCCTCAACCTTTTATCGACGCCTAGGATGCCGTTTAGATATATGGCTCGGCCTTCGTGTCGCAGGTCTCCGCCAATATGCTTTAGGGCGTCTAGAGAGAGGCGGGAGGAAAGGAGATGCCAGAGTTGTGGACGAATTAGGGAGTAGATTGACTGAGTGAGGGTGGGTATGCTGTGGTGCGAGATCCAGGGGGTGTACTTGTGGTAAGGATGAGGTTTGCCATCGTCGGAGGAAGAGACAGGGAGCTGAGAGAGGCGCGTGAGGAGGTGCGTGAGGATTGCTCGCGCTTCGAGTTGCACTGGAGTGAAGTTCGTCTGACCGGCACGATTAGATGGTGTTGGTGTTGTTGGTGTGCTTGACATCGCGGCAGCTGGAGACATTTGACGACGTGATGGTGTTGTAGGAAGAGGAGAGGAAGCCGGTTCCTGGTAAACTTCCGCTGTCGCCATGATTTATATCTCTTCTCAAGGTTTGTAGAACGAGACTTGTTGGTCGTGATTGGATGATGTGTGTGAGGAGTTAGGCAGCTGTCCTGTAGAAGGCTAGCGTCAAGGCACCAATGTCCAGGTGCGACGAAGCTTGGAAGACAGACACAAGCTCAGTACGAGACAGCCGCAGCGGAAATCGTCTTTTACAGAAGATGACGAACTATATCAGGATGCGCAATGTAGTTGTGAGGTGGAATAGCGTAGATATGTAGGTCTAGATGTTAGCTCCACCTGGGCGATGAGGCTGAAGCTAGCGCCCTTCGCACATGCCGTATCGGGCATCTTCTGAGAAAACCGTCGATAACGGCATCTCTTGAGCATAGCGCCTTAACCACTCGGCCATGACGAGTCGCATGCAGGACCCTGTGTTCCAGTCGCAGTCATTCGCCAGCTCTCGAATAGACTCATGTGGCTTATTCTGAACAAGGCTTCTGCTCGGTCTTGCTGTCTCTTTGGTACGTTCGTTTTGTGAGTGTAATATGTTGAATGCTGGCATGGTCTATAGTCCTGAGTAGCTGCATCGCATGTGTCACTTTGCGTGATGAGCGATGCCATTTAAAGAATCTTGATAAAATTCACGTAAAGCAATGGCAAGGCTGCGATTGTTGTAATCGATTGAAGGCTACGCTCCTGCTACACCTATGCATCACACTAAGCTCTCGTTCTACGTTCTTCCATCAATATAGTTCGTAAGTGAACTGATAACACCCGTATTCAGTACACCACGGCCCGTCGTCTTCGTATGGTGGCCACTGGTCGGTCCTGAATTTGAGGCCGAGACGTACGGGGTATTGCAAGAACGTCCCAGGCTCTGCTTTGTCTTTTATAGAGATGTTCTACTCCTCGATCGTCTTGACGCATTCCCATCCGCCGCTGAGCCTCTCCTTCCATAGACTGACCCTGTTGTCGCCGGTGCTGACTGCGAGCGCATTGCCGCTGAGACTCCAGCTCACGCGCCACGCGGCAGCGTCGACGTCAAGCTGGGTGCGCTTCCACTCGCGTAGATCTGATGATGTCCAGATAATGACAGTCTTGTCCTGGGATGCGGAGGCGATGTACGATTTGGAGAGAACGGTTGGGGACCACGCGACATCGCGTACCCAATCTGCATGACCACCACTAGTGTAGAATGTTAGCTAATGCCCCATACCGTCGATTCGCGACCATGACTTACAGCGGTGTCGCGTTCCAGCTGCCGCTCTCAGGGCTGAACTCCCAAATCTTGACCTGGCAGTCGGTTCCGCCGGTGACTAGCCTCTTCGCAGCGCCTGCCTGGTTTCCGCTTGCGCTGATGACCTGTCCTGGCGCATAGGCAGGTGCCCAAGAAACACTGTTTACGCCGTTACCGTGAGCAGGGAAGGTCTGATGTGTCCAGTTGTTATCCTTGAATTCGAGCACCGAGACATTGCCGTCAGATGATGCGCAGGCAAGGAGGCAGCCTGCCTCGTGAGGAGCCCATGCGACCATGTTGACCGACTGTGTGTGTAGGGCGACCTCGTATATCTTTTGCCAGCTGCCGGACTGCTCGCGCCAGATGAGGACCTTTCCGTCATACGAGGAGGAGGCGAGGATGTTTCCGTATTTTGGGTGTGCCCATGCTACGCTCCAGACGGCGCCCTCATGTCTACGATAGTCAGCGTCGAGTTCCGTGAGACCATGACTTCTTTGGGAACGACATACCCTCTCAGGGTCTCAACCAGTGTGTGCTTCTCGCCCTCAACCTCGAAGATCTTGATGGTCTTGTCCGAAGAACACGTCGCGAGCCGCCTGCCGTAGTAATCCAGTACGGCGTCATGCTGTACCTCGTTAGAATCGGTCGGGGGTGGGTCGATGTCGCCCATTGCGCTGGCTGGCGGTGTGGAATGTACGAATGTGGGGTGAAGATGGAGGCGGAGGTGTGTAGAGAACGTACAATCATGTCATCGTGGCCGGAGTTCGCTATAACGTTGGCCTACAGCGGCAGTCGCAAGTTAGCGGACATGATCAGGTTGGGCGCGTTAGTGGGGAAGTGCTTGCCATTTTTGTTGTAGATCAGCTGCGATAGATGGTGGTGAATGTAATGGAGGTCGAGGCGGTATTTGAAGGCGGCGGGATAGTTGTGTAGGCAGAAGTATGAGCAGGCGCGTCCAGACGTGTCCACAGCTACACAGTGCCCCAAAGTTGGTTGATGCTGCTGTGGCCTCAGTGCAGGGGTCCTGATGAGATAAGATTAGATCGAATCCCAATGACGCGCTAGCACACGCAATACCACCTGGGCAATGGACCACCTACTACCTGAGCATCACATGCGACCACTGTTTCCACCACTCCCACTCATCACTCATCATGGCTTATTCTTCCCCACGCCACTCGCAAAACTTCTACCAGTACGATGCATCAACCCCTCCGCCGCCCCCACCAAAGCCAGGACGGTCAAGTGGGAATGCAACTCCATCACAAGGACCTCCATTACCCCCACCCCCGCCAGGTCAATCATCGTATTCGGGAGATCAACAACAGAGTTCGTATTCACAACAACAGTACTCGCAGACAGGCCCCGAGCAACCGACAGTCCAACCGCCGGACGATGGCTGGCTGCCTGAGGTGCTCAAGGACAAACCGTATGCTAACTCTGCATCCTTGCTAAGCACATTGCTAAGGTATGAGTAGGACCAAAGACTTGCATCATGTGCTTCAAACGCCAGAATTGCAAAATGCTATAATTCACAATCCTGAGACCACACATCCATCGTTACCTGCATCTATTGCGCCTCTGCAGGCACTTCTCGCACAGAATGTAGGGTTGGCAGAGTCACTCAAACAGCTGGAAGCACATGTCCAGCACCAACGAGATAGCACGCAGTCGCGTTTGTTATCACTTAAGGCTTTGGAGCGTCAGTGGAAGGCAAAGCAGGCTGAGCAAGATGAAGCACTGCGAGAGTTTAGTCCGCCAGCGCTCTATCAGAGGCTGAGTGCTTCAGTAGGCGAGCAAGAGGCGTTATGTCGAGGACTAGAAGAAAGCTTCCTCGAAGGCGAAGGTTTCGGTGGTGGGGATGCCGTGGCTAGCGACCGCGAAGTGACGGACTTTGTGAGGCGCTTGAGGGAGGGCCGAAAGATCGCCTACCTTCGAGGAGAGCGCAAGGAGCGATGGGATGAAGGCCGTGTCGGCGGCTGGCGATGAGCGCTCCACCTTGAAGTAATTATAAATACTAATATCAGACCACGCACGCAACGTCGCAGTATGTGCGGAGATGTCAAATTGCCATGGCATGATCGTTATGCGGCGTCGGCAGTCGGAAGCATGCCTGAGAGTCAAGGCATCAGCACATGCGATTCAGGCGGCGAGATATGCAGCCGGCTGTGAATCTAAGATTGCATCTCAGGGGCCTCGTCACCTCCATAAGAAGGATCCTCGCCGTTAGCATAGGCCGAGAGGCTGGACTGGTCGTCATGAGTCGTCGTCGTGAGCACTGTCGTCGTTCGCGGCAGGCGAATATCAGCCACATCCCAGTACAGCTGCCCCTTAGCGTGCTGGCTTCCTCATTTGGATACATCCGTGGTTGTCGGAAAATTGCGCGATGCCAAAATAAAGGTTGCATGCAATCCACTGCAAGCCACCCGTTGCGGGTGTCACATGGCAGGGTTGCAGTCGCTATGCACATGGTGACGGCTGGGATCGAGTCTTGGTGGTTCAGCGCCTCATGGAGTGTTTCACGTCGCAGGCAAAGGCGCCTCCGCACGTCACCTGGGCAGCCAGCGTCAACGTCAACTCGACCGGAGCGCGCGACTCTGAGATGTCAACACCCACTGTGCAATTGAGCGTATCCCCGAATCACACTCCGCAACCCACTCCCCAGGACGACAGACGAGGCGCCCTCTTGAGCCTCCCCTTAGTCCGCGGCGTCCATTGGCTGGGTAAAAAGTGTACCTGCAGCCATCCTAACCCTAAAAAGCCCCCTGGCGCGGCTCGCTCCACCTCGAGCAGCGCGAACCGCCCATCACGGTCAGGTAGAGCGCCCGAATCGACCAATTCGAGCGCTGCGATCGGCTCAGAGGCCCCTGGGCGCCCCCTTCGCCGGCAGCTGTACCTGGCGAGCTAGGCGGGTCCCCTTTACGAAGAAGCGACTTTTGGCAGACTCTCCACCTCCCTCTGCGCCCATCATTTGTGCACGCCATGTCTATCGCGGGGGGATAATACGAGAATATGCAAGCCGTCCAAGCGTCCCCCGAGGGCGCACATGCTCCCAACGCCTTTGCCTCGCCGCCTCGCCAAAAGGGCTCGTCCTTGGCCTCGATTGCCATCTCGTCCTTTGCTGCTTTTCGGTCCCAGTCCTCGCAACCTGTGCCTGTCGCTGTCCTCCAGTCCCCGGTCCGCAGAAAGCCCCTTCCCGCGAATTCCCCCGTAGTTGGTCGCTTTACTGTCGATCAACAATCTAACCTCCCATCTGCTGCTGCACCTGATAAGAGCGTTGATCTCGCTGCTCAAAGAGGACGCGCCCCCGACACCACGTTGTCGCCGCCAGTCACTGACGAAGACCTCTTCCTGCCCCGGAACCTCGACGAGTAAGTGCCGACACGCGCTTTCCTTTTTCACCGCGCCTTCCTTTCATCGACACTTCGCTAACAACACCACCAGCAACCCACATGGAAGGACCCCTCTGACGGCAACCGCACCCCGCCAATTCTCCGAACGTGATCGTGGGAGCTCGCTCTTCGTCGCAACGCGAGAACCCCCGACCGCCCCAACCGCACCGTCTGCCGCGCGGCATGATCGATCGGCCAGCGGCATCCAACTCCAACGACAGAGCAAGACCGAGGCGCTGAAGGCCTTTGGCATCCGGGGAGCACACGCCCGATCCCCTACCATGCCGAACATGCCAGTGTACAACAACACA